TGATCCCTTTGCTTTTTACGTCAACGGACACCGAATTCACAGATTCGATCCAACAACTGCGCATAATGAGAAGCTGCACAGTTTGTACTCTTCACCAACAACACCCAGAGATAATATCAGGGTGACAAAATTATGAAGAATCCGGACAGCAGGTTTACGTAGCACTGATGGAAATGCGAGAAATACATGGAAAGATGTAGTCGGAAAACCTGAAGGAAAGCGACAACTTGGGAGACCCTTAAAACATACCAGAAGGACTGGATTAAACTGACCTAGAAAGCAATCCAGTGACGAGTTCTTATAAAAAATTGTAATAAACTTTCGGTTTCCAGAAAAAGAGGGATATTTCATGGCCTGCTAGCGACTATCAGCTTCTCAAGCTGCTACTCAGCTCTTTCATGGAGTTAGTCAGTTATATATAACTTCATGGTAGGTCTTTCAATTTAATTTTATGTTCTCTGAAGGTCCCCTTCACTGACCGGAACGAGTTATATGCAGTTTCCATTTTCCCCAGCCCGTTCATCTGAGAACGATTTCGTGTTATTCCATCACACACGTCTATATATCGCAAACGCTGTCTTCTCTTGAAGGCTATACCAGCTAGGCAAGAAATTTAAATCTAAGTTGACTAGGAGACAATTCTTAAAACGACTAACGACAGATTCCATTTTAAAACATCCGTAATGATGCTGATGAAACTTACGGTCTCGTAATATAACCTCAAACATTACGGCATAGACTTCAAGACAAAATAATGGATCTTAGAAAAATAGGGCTGAAGGGTTCGGATTGGATTTTTCTGGCTAATGATGGCGGACTCATGTGAACACGACACAAAAACATTCGGTTTCCATGAAGACGTGGGATTTCTTGACTAGCTGAGTTTATTACTTATTAGCTTCTTAAGATGGATTGTTTTAGACACATGGAATTACAATTAAAGCGGGTTTTATGGATATTTAAGTGGTGAGAGCAAACGGAGAAAGTGCTCAAAATAATCACGTTATTCTGAAATCCACAGCTGAATTAGTTTATACCGAAGGCTTCAGCTTCTTCTACTATGAAGTACATAAGTAAATTATTGAGCTTGCTTGAACATGTATATGATGATGTATTGTCAGTACCTATTAATACGTAGATCTGATTACGTTCAAATGTTGCAGGTCACAAAAAGGAGAGCTGTCAAGCGAGGCATGTTTCCATTCCATTAATATCAATCAATCGGGTCGATCAATCTGTCAATCAATTCATTAACCTATAATGTAAGTGGCCTGTTGGCCACTAGCTATGAAGTAGCTATTAAGACTCATTAGAAACTCAGTGACATCGGCAATTAATATCCATGTCGTCCAGATCAGGCGAAGTTTTCAAATGTTTAAAGCAAAGACAACAACAACAACAAAATCAATACTAATGCTGATTAAATATTAATGTAGCCTATATAAGAAAGTTCCGTTAACATGTAAAACTTTATGAATCCTTAAAGAAACTAATAATAAATAATGATCTTCGATCCACAAAATTAACTGAGCTTTGGCGTTGACAGCAGAAAACTTTTTTATTTAGATGGAAGATATTCTAAACGTGCATTTGTGGGTCCGAATGCAAACTTTTGCTTATACAGTATTTGCCACTACAAAAATGTTTGGTGCATCAAATTAGTCGAATTTTAATTCTTTCCTGATAATTGTGCTGTACCTGAATTTCTCCAACTTTGCCATTTTAAAGTGTAGATTTTATTATGAAACACTCTAATGCCGAATACAAACTTAACTGCGCTGAGCAGGACGCTGAGAACACATCTTTCACTACAGAGGTAAATCGTAAATACTGGAGGAAAGCAGTCAAATATGGAAATATATATAAAATTTCACCCCAATCTGAAAATTTTCTACTTGAAATCAATATGTTGTGCTCGAGGACTGAATAAATGCATTACTGGCCCCAGGTGGGAGAAAGTTTGAGGCCTATTATTGTTTGTTGCAGATCTGACCAAATAATTCTACTAAAGTTTCCCTTTTCACCCCAGTCAATATTTAACACGTATTGTATGTTTATCCCTCATTTTATCAGACAAGTAAAGGTTTCATAAGCGAAATATTCCGTGAACGACAAAGTTCAAATTTGTACAATGACATTTACTTATCATGCAAATTTAATAATTCTATTCTGAATGTGATTATATTGTTCGTAACATCAACACTGCCAAAACATCCATGTTATTGTTTGTGAACTTACAACCGGCAAACAGCAGGCAGCAGCCAATGGTAAGATTCGTGTACAGATTTTTTTTATAAAAATCTGTCAAATATTTTAAAAATATTAAGGCGAAAATACGTGTGTGTGTGTGTGGCCACGTATAAATGATAAAAATGATTCCCCTTTCTCTATTCTGGGGCATGGTGAAACATGGTAATACTTGTTTAAGCTTGTAACTCCTTCACATTTTGTTATGTGACATGAATTTTAAACTCAGTACTACTTCGTGAAAAATCAATGGGTAAAGTACAAGCTAGGCTCTTTCTACAGCTTCGTTTTTTTAAAGTTCAGTACATAAAATCATTGTAATCATTTTAGAATAAACTGCTGATTGGGAAGCTGTTTTACACTGCTTTTATTCTCTCACGTATCAATCTGCGGGTACGTGATTGTCCGTCCGTCCGTCCGTCTAAGCATTTCAGATGGAAATCTTTGTTGGACGGAAAGGACTATTTGCTAGCAACGACAAAACACTAGACTGACAAAATGGAAATGAACGGAATTTCAAAGAACTGAACAAAACTGCCAAAGTAAGATTTCCGACGCCATATTTTATATGGACTGTAACGGTGGGACGACACAGAACTGAAATGTAGCTTAAGCCAGACAGGCAAATAATCCAGCGGTTTAGACACAAACAAACCTCATTTAAAATTGCAGTCATGACGCTATAGACTTGTAATGTGAGGTTTCTGGTTCGGGATTACCGGCCATCAAGACTGGTTTGTCGTTGTCTCTGTCTCTCCAGGAGAATACTGCCACAACACCAACAAACAGGCCACGACCGTTTTATTTAAAATCCTTACCTACTAATTACGATAATATTCCTTTCCCATTCGACACGATTTATGTTCTATGCAGTTAATACGTTGCATTTCAAACAAAACTGTTCTGTTCAACGTCATAGGGACATCCATTGGAAAATTACCTTAAGCCGGTATTTTATAACAAAAATCACGATTATCGTTGTTAAAAGTTATAAAATTCGTTATAAATGGTAAAATACCAACTGACTTTGAAACAAAACAAATAAAAATTCTACACCGAGAATTAAGTCTCACGATAGTTTTACAACTAGCTGTATTCCATTACTTCGAGAGTTCAGTCGCTTAGAAAATTCTGAAAATCCTCTTCGACTTGCAATCTCATGAAAAGTTCAGATTTAATTTGGTAAAGTTTGATTTCATCTTCCTAAAAATAGTTACTACAGCAGACTGATACGAATCAAAATAAATGAACTAAAACATCTTGCGCTGTAGACAGCAAATATTAAATTTAACCTCAGAATTTTAAGTACTTTGGGTACAGGAACATGTGAATTGAGAAAGCGCAAGCAATCCCTCCTCATTACGCTTTCACTTTGCAACACCGAGCCTATGCATACTTTTAGTCGTCTGTTCGTTAATTTAAAATCTCCCAAGAAACAAATGTTTAACACTGAGGATCTTTGTGGGACACGTTGTGGCTGATCATGTACCAACTTCTGAAACACCATGTGCAGTGGCCTCATCACATGTAGCATTATTCTTCGAAACTCAATTATAAAACGGGTGATATTGATCCCGGATATGTACGGCAGAGTAGTACGAGTTTCAAAAACTAAAAATGTAATAACCATGTCCATGCCTCTCATCAAAATTGCAAGATCTAACATAATGTGTCATTACGCACCTTTGTCACAAAATGCAGAGCCTCCTCCTGCCTCATTACTACAACCCCCCCCCCTCCAGCCTGGCATTTCTTCCATTAGCACGCTGCAATATCAAAAATAATGCAACCGAAAATATTATTAGGTTACATAACGGCGCTATATCAGCTTTTGAGCTCACATATTGTCGGACAAAATGAGTGGTTGATCATGAATAGTGAGTATATAAGGATTTAGAAAAAGGCTAAGTCAGCTTCGGCCTAGAGTGACTGTGGATAATCACGACATACGTCAGTCAGCCTTGATGCTAACTGTGTACCTCACTAATATAGTCCCAGATGTTTTCGATACAAAAACCTGTCCAAAGAAACGCCCAGTGTTTACATTCTGGTTAATTTCATGTAGTATTTAAAGCATGAAAGAACAGAAATATCTCAAATGAGATCTCTGATGAGTTACACTGAGACATAAAATAAGACAAGAAGAAAAACGGAAGAGATTACACACAAAAGGTAAGATAAAACACATTAATAATTTTAAAGGAAATAGCTAGGAAGCGTGGAATAAATTACATACGCTTTTAATTCAACAGGAAGACATCACACGGAGCTAACGATGTACAGATATATGACATAATTTCAGCAGCCATGGTGCTGGATTTTCTGCCCAATCTTGGCTACGGAATAGGAAGATGATTTGCCTCATTCCGTGCTGTAATCTGTATCCCTTACTGATTAATATTTTACCGTCTAACAGCGTATTTATTGTAATAGAATAAAGTTTTATGAAAACCTTCACAGAGATTCAGAGAGCAGAACTTGTTTGTCTGCATTGAGATCCTTGGAAGCAGGGCCAGAATATGTCGTTAAGGAGCTGGATCTGTCAGAATAAATTTACTGTCAGACGGTGGCCTTCTAATTAACAACGGGCATTTTAAAACATGGTTTTGTGATCCCTTGTCAAAGTCGCCCCCGAATATACTGTCGCTGTGTCTCGTAACTTCAGTTATGAACTGTAGGTTTCATTTACTTACATCTAACGTTGAGGAAGTATCCGATGGAGCTGTATTCCCCCAGCAAATGGCGGCTTGTGCATTTGTACCAACCGCTGTGTTCCCGACGGATAGCACTGAAGTTCAGAAAACCGTCTCCAGACTGCGCAACAGGCGGGGCACCATCGTCTGAAAGCAAATCATAGCAAAGGGTCAAATGTAATACGAGCAATTACAGAGAGAGGATTTCTTAATTCAGCCTCATTTAGTGGTAACTCTGTGACTCTCAACCGTTAACATAATCGACTATTATGATGTAGAGTATTTAGTATCATCTTGAAAAATCTGTACTTATCGGTGAGTTTGTGCATTCACAAATCCGTCCCATCCATCAATATATCCATAAATTTATTCGGATTTAAGTCATAGGTCTATAATAATATGGAGCTTTAACGTTGTTCGTGTAATTATATCAGAATAATAAGCCCTTAATTTAAGTTCATACAACCAATTAAGCGTAATTATTTGAGGGTTACATTTATTAGCAACAGAATTTTACATGAAATTGAATTTATTAATTAATTTAACGTAATAATATGAAGTATGATACTCTATCACGACTAATATAGTAGATCTAATGTTCCTGTCACACTCAGTTGAAGCGAGTTTTGCTTTTTAGTAAACTGCGGTAACCTACAAACACATTAATAACGTCAAAAGTAACGTCCTTTACGTGAAACATCTTAAAACATGACAAGGTATCGTCTGTACCATCTAGGTATCAGAGGGGCTTGCACCTAGAGCGGTTTATACCATGCAGCATGGAAACATTTAACGTTTCAAAATACTGAGTAACTTAAGTCTTTCTTTTACACGATAAATCTCAGTCAGGAGAGTTTGCCTCTGGGTCGAGATCTGATCCCGGGCCCTCCCTAATACGGTGTGGTCTTACGCATCTCATGAAATAATTTTCGAAATTGTAAGCGTGAAACAAAAACGCTTGTACTGGTGTAACAGAATGTTACAAACTACAGAACAGAAAAGTGTAACTTTTACTTATTATTCTAATTCTGCTTCGGCGAATCGGATCAAGTCTCCCTCTTTGGTTTCTCACAGTTTGGAAAGAACACAAATTGAGGGTGTTTCAGAACAGGGTGATGAGGGGAGCATTTCGATCCAAGAGGGACGGAGTGACAGGGGGAGGGAGGACGCATCCTGAGGAACTGCAACAACTGCACCCTTCGTAATTCTTTCTGATAATCAAATCAATGACGGGAATGCAGCAAGCATGGGCGAGATGAGAAGTGCTTGCAACTCGTTCGAAAGCCTCTTTGGAAGGGACCACTCGAAACATTTAAGAGTAAATGGGGGAACAATATTAAAATAGATCTTAAGAAGATATGGAGAGATGGTGTGGACAGGATTCGTATGGTGAAGGAGGCTGTTTTGTGGGCTCTTGTGAACACGGTAATGAACCTTTAAATTCAGTAAAATTTGTCGAATAGCTAAGCGATTAAAACGCCTACGCTCCATGGACTTAATTCTCCCTTTAATTGTATTTGTAACGAAGTCCAAGTTCTGGTAGTCTGGCACTGTCATTGTGTTCAAATCTGTTGAACACACTTCTCTGTAACCATCCACTTTTGTATTTAATGAATAAATATTTAGCTCCTTTCGTTTTTAATTTTGCCCGATCCCTCGACTTTAAGTTATATTTTAAAAGCTGCAGCTTATATGACCCAGTAACATTTCTGAATGTATCGACGGATAGAATTTTAGGAGCTCACGAAGATAAATGAGCTTTTCAATGCTAAAACGAATTCGACAGATTCAATAAATCACAGTATATAACCTTCGAAGGTAAAATACAATATAAATTGTGAACTGGATTTCACTAACGTTCAGATAATTGCAGGTTTCAGTTTAATAAACAGCATTTCAGCGAGTTTATAATTGTAACAAATGAATAATTATTCCAGTCTGTTGTGCCTACAATAATAAGAGAACAAAGACATTTCAGTCTACCGTTCTCTTTATTACTTGTTTTCATTCAACCAAAGAACGCATGCAGTAAGATTCACAGCATCGCTAAAGTTTTCCAGTTCAGAGGTTATTTACTGAAACAAGAAGAAATCAAGTTATAATTCTATTATATATTTTCTTTAAGAGAAGTAATATGTAATTATACACAGACTGAATGCAACCATTCAAAATAGAAGCACAACGCTTATTAATATCCGGAAAACAACGGTGATATTTGTCAAGAAATCTGAAATATATCGATAAAAATAAATAGTTTTCAACTTTGTTTTATCAGTTTACTTGAGGTTAATGTCTTAAATTCGTCTTTAATGTAAAATCCTTACGTTTTATAATTATTCTGTCATAGAACCGTATTTTTAAGGTTAAATTATTGCCAAATACAGTCAGTTAATAATTACGTGATTCATCAAACTCCAGTATCCATCACCGTAAAAGCAAATGGGTAGTGTGACCTGAAGTGCAAATTATTCCGTGTCAGTAAACAATCTAAGAAAGGCAAGGAATACGGTAATAGCCAAACAGATCTTCCAAATTATTTAGCTTTCACTCAGTAATAAAGAAATTTTCATATGTATATAAACCAACGGAAGTTATTTTCCGTTTTGTCGTACTAGAATCAAACATCATCTTCAAAGTGAAACTCGCCGGTCACAGCGGACCCGCGGTCTGTCGCGTGGACCTTATTCACTGGGACCGTGGGTTCGTATTCTACTCAAGGCGCGACACAATTGAAAAGAACACAATTTTTATCTCACCGTTTCTTACCGCCCTCCTTCGCGGTTTCTACAGCTACAATTTCCCAGCTGTTTCGTCTCTAGGCTCTGACTTGATGGAAAAAATGTATCAACACAAACAAGCCTGGAAGATGGCTGTCTTCAGAGTAGAAATTTACCAATTTTTAGAGGTGCTTGTCGCTTCCATCATCAGGACGATGAGTAAGCCTCGACCGTATTCACCTAACGGTCACCAAGTTTTGAAGATGGACTAAAATCTGAGTATGAACCACTGACCCAGCAGTTAGAAGCTCTTCCTCAAGAGCTTACGCCCCATTCTTTGTTTACGCCATTCTGTCACGGGGTCCGTGGCCCTGGTGTGTGCTGTGTGCGATGATATATGGGCTGTATGCCCATGTTCCCCTCGGCAGCGTGTCTGCTCTAATTCACGCCCCCGCAAGTAGCAAAGGGGTGGAGAGGGAGGGGTGAAGCTGTTATTTACTGTACATACTATTTTATATGCAGCGAGTATAGGCAAGCATTTTTCCTGGTTTTCTTTATTTTTCTGTCGCTGTACGTAAGAAACGTAATACGTATCTGCAGGAGAAAGAGAATGTTTCAGGAAACAAGGTGGGATTGTGAGAGGAAATATGGCAGTGTGTGATAAATGTGCAGGTGATGTATAGGAAACATCATTTCAGCTGTAATACTGCGCGAGTGATATAAATGTTAAAATAAGAATCGGACGGACCGCTTTGTACGTTGCTAAACGGCGTATTTATACCACGTATAATATTACACATGACGGTGCATGTGCTAATGAAAAGTCGTTTATATCAAAACCTCAAATCCTATGAGTCTTATTCATTATAATAAGCAGACTTTTGTGCTTATTATTTTATTTTTTAGTGTTCTGTCTGACGACAGGTCCAGTGTTCTGCCCAAAAAGAGTTCGCCAGTTTTGCAAGTCTGATTTTCATTTTGTATGAAACTTGGCGAACATAAAGAAACTCGACAAGATTTTTATAAACAGATGTCAAATTATTAATACAGAACTGCGGGAAATTATAATCCAGCAGGTTTGATATTTTGAACATCCACAACATACATGAGAATCCAAGACAGGAGGAATTTGTTTTCATAATCAGTAACAATTAATTCACGTGTAGAACAAGACGTAATCTTATATGTCCATATAAACTTACTTTTACGCTTATTTTGGATTTACCATTGTTTCTTAGTCCGCATGCTATACTTGCATGCTTCCGTTCTTGTCTTATCATCCGGTACAAACGCGTACGCGGTGTGAAATACGATACTGATTCAATTACATAATTTTATGGAAAAACTTTAAATTCACTATGAGTTTTCTTAGAAACCAATGTAATTTTCTATAAGCAGTGGCTTTCCAAGTACAATAATTAATGTACAGCAGTGCCAACAGCACGCAACACAATCTCTTTCGGAGTCAGAGGGCACTTTCGCCCCTAGATCAAGGGGTCAGAAATACACGGACGCTCGCCCAAGATAAAATCTTATCGATGAGCGACTGAAATTAAATTCAGACACGTAAGCGTAAGTAACGCATGTGCAAGTATTAATCACCATCCTCGGGGTAAACAGTAACAACGAAGTTTACCTCGTTCCATTTTGTTTTACATGTAAAGTGATACGAACGCGCTATCACGAACAAGATGATAAATTTTACTAGTTTCAACTTACGTGGTTATGACATTAAAAACTCAAACGAATTCATAAAAATTATACTGCAGATCACTTGCATAATGTCGGACGAAGGTCATTATTCTTTAAAACAGAGTTTTCTGAATAGTGCATAATATCAAATGGTAAAACCAATGAAGTTCTGAAATATATGAAATTATCTGAGCTCATCTGTGCGTATTTCGGTGTAATGGTTCATTTAATGGTAAAACATTCTGCATTCATTTCATACTGGAGAAACGTATAAGTACAATGGGAAAAAACTGGACTGCATAAAAGCTTATAATTAAGTTGGGAGAGAAGAGTTAAGCAACATTTTCACTTAATTCGTTTTTGTTTAAAGAATATGCAATAAGTTCGTATAGGTAAACACTTGTCTGATAAACTTTCCATTTGGAATGGGGTGAACGAGGTTTTTAATCACCACCAATCTTTTACTTTGATTTAGAATAAGCAATTAAGAAGATTCATTAAAACAAAGAAGAACTGGAAATAACTGGGAAACATCAGCTTCCAGTCTACGGTGATGTTAATTAATTATGTAAAAACCTAAATACAATAATAAAAAACAGAGACCCTAGTAAAGACGCTGGTATAGAATCAAGCGCAGAGGAGACAAAGGATGTGTTCATGGTTCGTCACCGGATTGCAGAACAAAATCTTTATGAGAAGGCGGCTAATAAATCGTTTCAAAAGCGCAAACATATGGGA